CAGGTGAGCGAATGGGGGCGGGGCGGGCCGGGGGCGCCGGGCGAGAGACGCAGGGAAGCCGAGTAGGAAGACAGCCAGAGGGAGACAGAGCCCTCGGAGGGAGGACTGCTGGGAGGGGCCTGGGAGACAGTGACAGCTTTTCTTCCCGGCTCATAAACCAGGGAAAAGGTAAGGAGAGGGGGCCCAGGCCCACCGGAGAGGGGCCAGCAGCTGCTTAAGAGGCCTCTTCTATTCAAGCCCTGCCTACTCAGAGGGTGGGTCCTCTACCCAGGTAGAGGGGGAAGGGATGGAGCCCCACACCTGGCCCCCTGCTCCCTAGACGTGTCCACAGAAACTGGGGAAGACCCAATGTATCCCGAGACCAGAGAGACCTTGCTTCTGCTCTGCTCATTTCCAAGGCCAAGGGCTCCATAGCCGCTCCTCCCTCACACCGTGTCTGTGGCCAGAAGCGTCCAGGTAAGGGGTGGGCAAACTTGTCAGTGAAGGGCCAGGTGGTAAATATTTTAGATTTCCAAGTCTATACGATCTCTATCGAAACTAGCTGGAAAGCAGTCAGGGCCCATCAGTAAACGAGTAAATGTGGCTGTGTCCCAATAAAACTTCCATTATGGGCACTGAAATGTGAATTTTATATACGTTCTCTCTGTAATGAAATCGTATTTTTAATTTCTTTTTCAACTATTTAAACATGTAAAAAGCATTCTTAGCTGGCAGGTTGTACAAAAACAGATGACAGGTCCAGGCAGTCTCCTGTCCTCTCCCACATGACCTCCCTGCAGGCTGCGTATGGGGAAAGGGAAGCTGTAACTGGGTGCAAGGGGAATCCCCTCACCTGGGGGCATCCGGGAAACTGGGGACTTGTCTATCCAACTCCTCTCAGAACTATAGCCTCGTCTGAGGCCAGTGTGGGAGTTTATACGCCAAATGTGCACACACATGGAGGAAGTATAGTTCCAGGGGCTTTCTAACCAGCAACCGGGGGCATTCCCCACCCCCACCAAGTCAGAGATGAGGCAGCCAGGCTCTCCCAACAAGTGACCAAGCCCTTGACCCTCCGTCCTCCTCACTCCCCACCTCCATCACCTTGGTCTCAGGTCTAGTGCCACCCACTGATCAAGGCTGGCCCTTCCATTCATTTTCTCTTTGCAGACTCAGGGGACCCCTTTCTCCTGGACCTTGGAACAATGAACCTTTGGAGGTGACCTAGGAGAGAAGGGATGCAACCTTTTGGTCCTCCAGATGAGCGTCCCCTCCGAGGACTTGTGGAGTCCCGCATTGAGACTTATGGGGGCCAGCATCGGGCTTCGGCCCAGAGTACTGGCAGCAATCTCTATGCCCGAAGAGGCCTCGTGCTGGTGAGTCCAGGCCGTGCCCCAAAGGTGACCTGGGTGGGGCAGATGGGAGGATGCCCAGGCTTTCAGGTCTCTGCCTTTTACCGGTTCATGGGCCGCTCTATTCCTATCCCTCACCCTACCTTCTCTCCTGGGTTGGGAGAGGTTGAGGAGGACAGTGCTGGGCCAGGCTCCCAGGACTCTGCACCCATCCCAGACAGATGAGGCACTCGAGGCAGAGAGCCAGGGGTGCCAGGCCCTCAGAGGAGGTGCTGTTAGACAGGTCCGAGTCAGGGAGCTGGGGAACTTCGCCAAGCCCTGGGGATGGCACCTCCCAGACTCCCACCTCTCCTGGGAGGAGCCTGTGGGCTCTGAGTCAGGGCTGGAGGAAGAGCAAAGGTTCAGAGTGTCCCTACTATGAAAGTGGGGAGGGGTGTGGGGGCTCCCTAGCTCCACCCTGGCCCCACCCTCCTGGCCTGCCTCCAGTGCTGACCAAGAAAAGGGGTGTGGCGGCCAGCGGTCTTTCCCTCGGCCTCCACAGTTCCCTCCACCTTGAGAGCAGTTCTGCTTCCCGTTGGGGGTATCCCCAGCCTTACTGGAGGAAGATGTGTCCCTGGGAGACAGGGAGGACAGCTGGGGGTTCTCCCAGGCTGAGGGCGGAAAGGCAGAATAGGAAGTCTGTGGAGTAAATCCAACCACAGGCCGATCAAGGAATGTGACCAGGCCTGTCCAGGAGGAGACTTGTGGCCACGGCCTCAGCCTCTCACATGGAAGGGCAGCTGCCCCCACTGGATGGGACGCAGGCTGCATGCCCCTGGGGAGGAGCCACACATGTGTGTGCCCTCATCCCCGTGTCAGGGAGGCTGTTCCCAAACCAGGGAAGCTGTGAGGGACCCAGATGTAGTGTGCACCATACATTGTGCATGCAAGCCTAAGGTGCGGGGAGCGCACACGTGAGTGGGCAGACACAGGGAGGACACACACCAGAGCCCAGGCATGTGCGCACCTGTGTGCTGCTCTGCAGGAGGCCCTGCTTCTGCCCTGGGCTCAATCGAGGAGCCAGCTTGGCATGTCCCTGCCCAACCCACTTGGCCTCCCTGGCAGCAGCCACTGTGACTCAGGGCAGGAGCGGCTCACACCAAACTGGTTTGAGGGGAGAAGTGAGTCAGTTCAGCTTGGACGGGTAAGGGCCTGGCCCCCAGTCCCTCCCTAGGACTTCTGTGGGAAGGGAGACACCCCCTGACCTTTCCTTGCTCTTCCCCCAGGATCCCTGTCGCCTACGCCTCCAGGACTATGTCCCCTTTGCCAAGAGCTCTGGCCAGACCCGAATCCTGTCTCCCATGAGGTTTCGAGAACCAGAGCCTGAGAAAAGGCTTGGAAGCCCTTTTGGGGCTGGCCCACCTCACTCCCCCAAACTCAAGGTGAGGGGTCCCTCTCTTCCCATTGCCATGCTCACAACCTGAGCTGTGATGTCCTCCAGAGATATTAGAGCCATGAGCTCAGGCAGCCCCTCCAATAAGCCACTGGTCCTGTCTAGAATCCTTCCCAGGGATACGTCTCTAAGCTATGCTTCCTCATAAAAATGTCCACATTATGGGCAAATATCAAAATGCTGCCTGAGACCTCTGGTTTCCTAAGTCCTGTTCTGGTCTCCCCCTGAAGGTCCCGCTAAAGGGTTCTGTCTCAAGAGACCCCTGGAAGGCACCTTTCTGGTCAGGGAGCCCAGGTCAGACCCCTCTGTCCAGGGACATTTCTGCAGACCAAAGTGCCTCTCCATCCATGTTCCAGGGCACCCTTGCCCCTGTAATCCAAGCAGGGGTCGATCCCTGTCCCTTAGGCTTCCATACACACACACACACACACACACACAGCCCTCCCTGGGCTGTTGGGCTGCGTGCCTGGGCTATGGCCACAACTAATCCCTTTCTCAATTCCACCAGGAAGTCACCAAGGCCCATGAGCTGGAGATGAGGCTGTATACGTTCAGCATGTTTGGGATGCCCCGCCTGCCTCCTGAGGACCGGCGGCACTGGGAGATAGGAAAGGGCAGCGACAGCGACCTGACCATTGAGAAGTCCTGGAAGGAGCTGGTGCCTGGGCACAAGGTGAGCCTGTAACATAGTGTCTGTCCCCATGGGGTTACAGACACAAGTACACACATCCCACCTCTGTCTCTTCCCAAGGAAAAGGCCTCGGGTCATGTGGGGAAAGTGTTTGGAGAGATCTTACTCTAGGTCAGTGTTTTCCAACATGGGGCACATGCCCCACAGGGGGACAATTTGATTTTTAAGGGGGGCAACTTGAGAATGAGTTATTACAGTGAATTTTTTGCATTTCTTATGGTTCTAGGGGCCTCATCTACAGTATATGAATATATAGTGAGCCCAGCCAACATTGCTCAGTGGTTGAGCATCAACCTATGAGCCAGGAGGTCATGGTTCGATTCCCAGTCAGAGCTCATGCCCGGGCTGCGGGCTTGTTCCCCAGTGTGGGGTGTGCAGGAGGCAGCCAATCAATGGTTCTCTCTCATCATTGATGTTTCTATCTCTGTCCCTCTCCCTTCCTCTCTGAAATCAATAAAAATATATTTTTTAAAAAATAAAAAATAAATATATAGTGACATATTTATGCATTTCAGTTCTCTATTACTAGTATATGTTTTGAAACTTTATTTGCTATTTTTTCATATCACTTCATATTATTGTTATTTTTTAACTATTTCTTGGTGATTTCTTCCTCCGTACTTCAACTGTCCTTTTGTTCTTTTATTTTTCTCTTTCATGGATGTCATGTCCTTTGTAAGCCTGTTTAGACCAAGTTAATGGCCTTTTAGGCTTCCTCCACGTGAACAGAAATTCACTTTTTGAATAAAAGAATTATATGTCATGAGGGAGTGGTAATCAGGATTTTAGAGATGGTTAGGTGGGGCATGGCCAAAAAAAGGTTGGGAATCACTGCTCTAGGTTCAAATCCAAACTCTGTCACTTACTAGTGAGACTTTGGTCATGACAGCAAACCTCACTGAGCCTCAGTCATCTCACCTGTAAAATGGGGATGACACCTATTCTCTGGAGGTTTGGTTTAAAGATTAAAAAGTTATCTATAAGTCCTAACTGATGCAATCAGTGGTTAGAGCATAGACCCATGCACTGAAGGGTCTTGGGTTCAATTCCCAGTCAAGGGCATGTACCTGGGTTGCAGCTTCAATTCCTAGCTCCAGTCAAGCTGTGTGTCAGAGGCAACCAATATCTCTCACATTGGTGTTTCTAGCTCTCTCCCCCTCCCTCCTTCCTTCCCTTCCACTCTCTAAAACCAGTGGGGAAAAATATACTCAGATGAGGATTAACAACAACAACAAAAAAAAAGTCATCTATGAAGTAGATCCAGTAGCATAACAAATGGTAGCTGTTGTTCTGTTCTTTTCACTGTTCCCCAACTGAACCAGCCCCACTCCCATCCCAGGAGATGAGCCGGGAGCTTTGCCACCAACAGGAAGCACTCTGGGAGCTACTGACCACAGAACTGACCTACATTCGAATGCTCAAGATCATGACCGATGTGAGCCTCCCTCGGTCCCAGTCCTGGCCCCATCCTCAGCCATATACCCATCTCCCTTACATTTTCTCTGATCCTCCCAGACCAGAGGAGCAGGGTTGCTGGGGGAAGGAGAGGCAGGATACCAAAAGATCCCCCCGATTTGAGACCTTCCCAGGATCTTGGGAGAGAGGTTGGCAGTACTGAAGTTGGGGGTGGGGATGCATTAAAGGGCTAGGCTGGGGTCCTGAGAGGAAGAGGCTGGGTGCTGAGACCCTCATCTCTCCCTTCATCTAGCTCCTAGCCGCTGGTTTGCTGAACTTGCAGCGCGTAGGGCTGCTGATAGAAGTAAGTGGGAGTTCAGGAGGGGAGTCTGGTACATCCCAACCTCTGAGCCCGAGAAGTGGGGGGTAGGGTTGGAGGGGTCACAGAGAGCCCTCTAGGCTGCCCAGTCTGAATTTCCACTGTCCCATTTTCTAGGACACCTGCCCTTCCTACTCTCCTTCTTGGTCTCTAGACCCCAGTAGCCACAGGTCCCATGCCACTCCTCACCATCCAAGCTTAGCAGTTCTTGCTTGTCCATGGCCAAAGTTGCCTGCCGGTGACCTGCCAAGTCATGCTGCTAAATTCTGCTCCCTCCTCCAGGTGTCAGCTGAGACCCTGTTCGGAAATGTCCCCAGCCTGATTCGAGCCCACCGGAGCTTTTGGGAAGAGGTGCTAGGGCCTACCCTGGGGAAGACTCGAGCCTCTGGCCAGCCTCTGGATCCTGTCAGCCTGCAGGACGGTTTCCTGGCGGTGAGGCATGGAGAAGGGTTTGATGAAGTGGGACTGGGGGAGCCCAGGGGTCCTGTCTGCAGGGCATGTCTACACAACTGGAATCCTTCCATGACTTGAGGGCGTCCCAGGGCACAGCCCCTTCCCCAAAATATCACTTCACCCCCTGCCCTTCACTTGACAAGTATGACCTCTGTCCCAGAGGTTCTTTGGGCTTCTGGAGACCCTTACGTATGACGTGAAATTGCAGTTGTCTCAGGAAAGAGTTCCACCTAAGCTCTTATCAACTATAACATCTTACTTCTTAGACAGAGATCCACTGACAAACAGCTGGAAGCAAGAATGGGGCCTGAGTGAGGGGTGTAAAAGGCCACCAGGGTACCTGGAGCATGAAGTATGACAAGAGAAAGAAAGAGAGGCCCAGGATCAGACTTTTCCAAGTTTTCTCCAACCAGGAAGATGTGGGCCTTGCAGAGTTGGAAAGGGGTAGTGAGTTGGGGAGACAATCTCCTGGGAGCCATAGGTGGCCCCCTTCCACAGGACAGGGCTTCTGGGCCAGCCTCAGATCACCACCCCCCTGTCGGGTGAAATGGGATCTGCATGTCCTGAAAACGTTTCGGCTGAATTATTGATGGCAGGAGTGAATTCAGAGCAGCAGGGCAGGCAGGGGCTGTGGACAGGAGCTCAGAGAGCAGCAGTAGGTCGGCCTCTCAGGTCCTCAACTCCTCCTTGGAATCCAGAGAGAAGGGCTGGCAGTCATGGGAGGTAGGGCATGAGCTGGACTAAGGGTCTATGAGAGGCTGTCTCCACCCCCACCCTACCCTGTACACTCTGATCCCCATGCTCTGCAGCCAAAGCCTGTATCTCATGACCTTCTTTCCCTGCCTGCTCCCCCTCCACCCCCCGTCCCTCTAGATCAGCCAGCGGTTCCAGCCCTATGTCCAGTACTGCCTGAGAGTGAAGCAGACCATGGCTTACGCCCGGGAGCAGCAAGACAATAACCCTCTCTTCCGTACCTTCGTGCAGGTGGGAGAGGGAGTGGCAAGAAGGGAGATGGGAGGACCCTAGACAACTGGATTCCCCTCTACCCCCCACCCCCCGATCTCCAGCTGGGCCCAAGGCTGAGTCCATCAATTAGGGTGGGGTAGACTGCTGACCCCCTGCCCACCTTCCCTGGCAGTGGTGTGAGAAGCACAAGCGCTCAGGGAGGCAGATGCTGGGTGACTTACTCATCAAGCCCCACCAGCGCATCACCAAGTACCCACTGCTGCTACAGGCCGTGCTCAAGAGGACCCCTGAGGCACAAGCCCGCCAGGCCTTGAACGACATGGTAGGTGGCCTGGCAGGGCCAGTACCCTGGGAGTTGGAGGGTGGTGTGCGGGAGTTGCCCTCCAGGAACTCTTGAGGGTCTCTTTTCTTGAATGTATGTGACAGTGTGGCACTGACCGGCCAGGCTGTAAGGAGGCTGTGGTTGCCGTTGGTTGGGTGGGATGTACGGGGTGTGGAGCTGAGCTGCTCCTCCTGCCACACCCCACCTTCACCTAGATAACAGCTGTGGAGTCTTTCCTGCAACACATCAATAAGCAGGTCCGCCAGGGCGAAGATCAGGAGAATTTGGTGGCGGCAGCCCAGCGCATTGGGCCCTATGAGGTGCTGGAGCCGTCCAGTGAGGAGATGGAGAAGGTGAGAGAGGGAAGGGGGCTCAGAGAAAGCAAGGTCCCCAGGAAAGTGGATGCAGCGGAGGCCTGGAGGGGAAGGGGTGGAGGTGCCACAGAGGGGTGTGCCCATCATTCCTTCCTGGTGGTTAGGGTCCCAGGGGCAGAGTTCAAAAGAGTAAAAAAAAGGCCCTGAAATGCTTCCTCTCCCTCCAAGGGGAGGATGGAGGACAGATGGAAAGAGCCAGTGCTGGTGATAGAACAAAGAACCATCTTGGCCAGGAGGTACACAGGAGTCCTATCCAGTCCCCTAACCCTCTCCTCTGTGTCCCTCAGAACCTGCGTCCTTTCTCCAACCTGGACTTGATGTCCCCCATGCTGGGGGTTGCTCCTGAGCACACCAGGCAGCTGCTGCTGGAGGGACCTGCGAGAGTGAAGGAGGGGCGAGAAGGGAAGGTGAGGGAGCATGGGTAGGAGCAGAGATGATGTGAGATGGATTGAAGAGAAGGGAGAGATGATGGGAGGTTAGGATAAGAGTCATATAAGATGAAAATGGCAGAGAGGGGTGTGTGTGTGTGTGTGTGTGTGTGTGTGTGTCTATGTGTGTGACTGGGTCACTTCTGTGTATGTATGGGGAAGAGGACATGGTTCTGGCTACAGCTCTGATTGTTTGTACAACCCTGAATCAGCCACTTTCCCTGCCTGTAAAGTGAGAGAAGGGACCAAGCTGACACCCCCTCCAGCCCTAGCATTCCACAATGTGCACTTGTCCCTATGTATGTGCACACCCACATGTGCACACTCATGCATGAGCCCCCACGTGTGCACACTCATGCATGAGTCCAGTCCCTGTCCCGCCCTTCCCCCTGCTCCAGCTGACCTGGCCTCTTTCTCCTACACACGCCCCCAGCTGGACGTGTACCTGTTCCTCTTCTCTGACGTGCTCCTGGTGACCAAGCCTCAACGCAGGGCGGACAAAGCCAAGGTTATCCGCCCCCCCTTCATGCTGGAGAAGCTTGTGTGTCGACCACTCCGGGACCCTAGTATGTCTCCCCTGCGGGGACTTTGTCCCTCCCCTTTCCTCTTGGAAGAGGAAAAGAGGTGTCAGGATGGGCTTCCAAAACAGTCCAGCCCTTGAAGCAGACCTTTTCCCCCACTCAGACAGCTTTCTGGCGATCCACCTCACTGACTTCCAGTGCGTCTCCAGTGCCCTCATCGTGCACTGTCCCAGCGCTGCAGACCGTGCCCAGTGGCTGGAGAAGACCCAGCAGGCCCAGGTATGTGAGAGCCAGGTGTGGAAGGGATGGCTGGGGGCCCTGGAGCTCAGGAACTGGAGCACAGAGGGGAGAAGGAAGAGAGAGAGGCTGGAGTTGATGCAGACTCAGACTGTCCTCAGGAGGGAGACACAGCTTTGACTATCCCTGACCATCATAAGAGGAGAGAAGAGCCCCTTGAGCCACCTGCTCTGCCAGTCCCTGGGAGAGTCCAAGCCGGCATCCCCTAAAAGTTTCTACGCCTTGAAACAATTTACTTCTGAACTTCAGTCTTGTCAACAGACATTAATGGGGCCCTTACTGGCTGCAGGCACCAGCTCAGCGCTAGGCAATCAGAAAGGAGTAAAACAATGTTCCTGCCCTCAAGGAATGTGCATGGCAGCCTAGCTAGACAAGTTAGTGTACGACTACAGAAACATGCATATGTAATGGAACTCAGCCCAGAAGGGAATCATTCGTTCTGCCTGGTGAGTTGGTTAGGAAGGGGACAGACGAGGGGGAGGGTGCGCTGAGAAGCCTTCACTGAGGGGCCCTTATCTGAGCTCCGTTTGGGGGAATATCTAGGAATGTCTAGGAGTGTTTCAGGGAAACAGGGTGGGAAGGAAAGGTATTTTAAATGGAGACACGGAATGTGCAAAGGTCGGAGATATGAAACAGCTGTATGGTGTGTTGAGCGACGCACCAGCCTGGGAGTTCGTATCACCAGGACATAAAGCACAGGCAGGCACAGCGGCAGAGAGGCTGGGAGGCAGGCCCCGCCAGCTTGCCCATCTCCCATGCCACGTAAGGAACTTGAACTTTGTCCTTCAGATGACAGGGAACCAGTGAAGGTGCTGAAAGTGACGTGGGCAGATGTAGGTGATTAGAGCTAGAGGAGTTCAGAAGGCAGAGCCAAATAGAGCTGTACTGGCACCACAAACGGAGCGAATTAAAGTAGCAGAAACGTGTTCTTTCCCAGTTCTGGAGGCCAGAAGTTGGAAACCAATGGGCCACACTTTCTCTCCAAGGTTCTAGGGGACAACCCTTCCTTGCTTCTCCCAGCTTCCAGCTGTTCCTTGGCTTCTCTATTCTCTGCCTCTGTCCAAATTTCCCTCTCTTGTCTCTCATGAAGACACCAGCCATTACATTTAGAGCCCACCCTAAATCCAGAATGGTCCTTAACTTAGGATCTTTGCACCCTCTTTCCGAATAAGGTCACATTCCCAGGACCTAGACAAATCTTCCTGGGCTACTGTTCAACCCACTGCAGGAGCAGAATGACCAAAGTAGTGTGAGGAGTGGAGCTGGACTTAAAGGACAGGGAAGATCATGAGCAGAAGAATCAAGGGAGCACTTGGTGGGATTTGTTTGGGGGCAGTGACCTTGTGTGTCTGAGTCTGGAGCAAAAGGGTTTATGTGAGTTGGTGATTGAGAGGCCAGGCTCTACAGGACCCCAAGAGCTACAAAAGAGGGTGGACTGGGTGAGACTGGAACTGAATTGGGTTGATGAGAGAGAACCACCATAGATTCTTGAGCCAGGAATGCCATGGTGAAATCAATGTGTTTTGTCTTTGTCTTGAATTGTAAGGTGACTGTGACAGATGGGCTGGGGGAGGGGAAGATTGGTGGCAGGAGATTTACTCTGCTGGTTTGGGTGTAAAATACTGAGGTTTATTTAATGCCATGGTCTTTGGGACACGTTGCCAAAAAAGGGGGGGAGGGGAAGAGAGGAAGAAAGGAGCTAAAGAAGAAGAAACAGGTGAGCCTTAGGGAGACTGGTTAAAAGCCTACACTGAATGAATGAACATCTAGGCTCAAACACCAGTTCTACCTCTCACTAACTGGGTCATCTTGGGTGAGCTTCCATTTCTTCGCCTGCAAATGGATATACTGTTATTATTTACTAGAGGCACAGTGCACAAAAATTTGTGCACTCGGGGGGAGGGGAGGGTCCCTCAGCCTGGCCTGTGCCCTCTCGCAGTCTGGGACCCCTCAGGGGATGACCACCTGCTGGCTTAGGCCCGTTCCCTGGGGGATTGGGCCTAAGCTGGCAGTCAGACATCCCTCTGGCAGCCCAGGAGCCCTTGGGGGATGTCCACTTGCCAGCAGGGAGCAGGCCTAAGCTGCAGTCGGACATCCTTAGCACTGCTGAGGAGGCGGGAGAGGCTCCTGCCACCAGCGCTGTACTGGCAGCTGTCAGCCTGGCTTGTGGCTGAGCAAAGCTCCCCCTGTGGGAACACACTGACCACCAGGGGGAAGCACCTGCATTGAGCGTCTGCCCCTGGTGGTCAGTGTGTGTCATAGTGACCAGTCATTCCTAGTCGTTCTGCTGTTAGGGTCAATTTGCATATTACCCTTTTATAGGATAGAGGCCTGGTGCATGGGTGGGGGCCAGCTGGTTTGCCCTGAAGGGTGTCCCAGATCAGGGTGGGGGTCCTGCTGGGGTGCCTCGCAAGCCTGGGTGAGGAACTGAGGGCCTTTTTCAGACTGGCCACAGCCCTTTAGGGAGGAGGGTCCTGCTTGGGTGCCTGGCCAGCCTGGGTGAGGGGCTGATGGCTGTTTGCAGGTGGCCACAGCCCCTTCAGGGTGGGGGTCCCTGCTGGGGTGCCTGGCCAGCCTGGGTGAGGGGCTGATGGCTGTTTGCAGGCTGACCACAGCCCCCAGCCACCCAAGCTCCCAGTGGAGGCTGGCTGGAAGTAGGTATCTGGGATTTATTTATCTTCTATAATTGAAACTTTGTTGCCTTGAGCAGAGCCGGCCAGGACAGGAGGGAAGCTTGGCTTCCTCCATCGCCAGGGCAACCAAGCCTCCTGCTTGCTCCAGCTCCGTGGCTTCCAGCCGCCATCTTAGTTGTGTTAATTTGCATATAGTCTCTCTGATTGTCTGGTGGACGTGGCTTATAGGTGTGGCTTGTGAGTGTAGCAGAGGCATGGTCAATTTGCATGTTTCTCTTTTATTAGATAAGATAACAGTCCTTGCTTCACAGAGAAGATTCCAAGGTCATTCTGATTAAGCAAATGCATGGTCACAGCTCTGAAACCCTTCCACAGAGACCAAGGATGGTTGCTCCCCAAGGTTCACGTATGAAAGACTGCTTTGGCTATGGTGCCCCTGACAGAAATGAATCCTTAGAAAGAGAAGCCTGTTTGTTAAGTTGTTGTTTCCTGGGAGTTGTTTCCTAGGGTAGCAATATTCAGTTTTAAACAGAAGCACTTTGGAAATGCGTCAGTGGGAGACAGCCAAGGGGAGGCATCTTGGAGGCTTGTCGAAACATGGAAACACAGACCTGAGTTCAGGTGAGAAATGAGGGTGAACTATGAAAGTTGCTAAAAGAGTAAATCTTAAAAGTTCTTACCACAAGAAGAAATTTTTTTCTAACAATGTATGGTGATGGATGTTAACTAGACTTAGTGTGGTGATCATTTCATTATATATCCTATATAATAAAAGCCTCATATGCGAACTGGTCGGCCATTCAACCAGTCAAAGCATAATATGCTAATGATAAGCTAAGGCCGCTCAACCACTCGCTATGACATGCACTGACCACCAGGGGGTAGACGCTCTGACCGGTAGGTTAGCTTGCTGCTGTGGTCCAGCCCATCAGGACTGAGCGAGATGGGCTGGACTTGCCCTGGAGCCCTCCCACAGTCCCTCTCTGACTGGCCAACCTCCCACATCCCTCCCTGACCCCGATCCTGCACCAGTGGAGTCCCTCGGCCTGGCCTGTACCCTCTCGCAATCCAGGCTGAGGGGGACCCCCCAAGTGCACAAATTTTGTGCACTGGGCCTCTAGTTTATATATAAATATATATTTATATATATTAAATCATAACCTTGTACACCTGAAATTAATATAATGTTATATGTCAATTATACCTCAATTTTAAAAACAGAAGAGGCATTTTGAACAAGGAAAGAAATCTTATTATAGATTATTTCTAAAGAATGCAACTTCATTATGTTTAAGGTGTTTAAGTCAAATTAGTGTTCCTCATAGAACTTGCTGTAATGAATAGATAACAATGATTTGTCATTAGCACATCAGGCAGTTAGGGCTTCTGAAACTTCTGAGAATATGTGAAGAGTCTGTCCTTTAAATAATTTTAAGCATTCCTTCTGCAATCTTATCTATGATATCGTATCATAATATGGAGAGATTATTTGAGGAAAGAAAAACCAGAGCTTAGTCTCTGTTTAAATACCGTATTAAAAATTCTGAATTGGGGGAGTAAAAAATAAATATGGGGTTTTTTTGCCATTTAAAAAAAAGAAGAATGAATTAAGGGTGAAAGGAGGAACCTTAAGATTGTGTGTCCTCCAGCCCTGTGGGCTGCCACTTCCTTAAATACCTAAAACAGGATGGTGACAGTCCCCAGGAAGGCAGAGGTAGGGGACAGGGTTGGGTGTGGGGTGGGGGTGGTTTTAGTGGTGACTGGTCTCCAGCTGCCCTGCTTCAGGCCCCCTCATACTTCCCTCTCTCTATGTGACAGGGGCCTTCTCTCTATCCCACTCTCCCCGGCACAAACACAGTGTCCACATGGCTGGACTGGCCGACAACCGGCACCACTCCGGTGGCCAGTCGAGTTGTACTGAAGGCTGGATAGGAGTGGAGCTGAGGACAAAACTGGAGACCAGCCCAGCCTGTCAGGACCGCAGGTGGGGCCCTGACCTGCAGGCAGCCTCCCTTCTGTACCAGCCCCGCCAGCAGGACCTTCTCCTTTTCCTTTGGTTCCTAGTCCCAGGACAATACCCCCACCCCTTCTCCTTTTAGAACCCCCAAGGGACCACAAAAACGTGCTGACATTTTATTATGCAAAATAATTGAGCCCCCTAGTCTCACTACTGACTAACAGAGGAAAGGAGGTCACTTCTGATGCCTAAAACTCCGGCCTCCCTTTGCAAAACAAAGAACGGAAGCTTTGAAATTAATTTGTCCTGCTGTTATCTCACACCAGATTCTCACCCCCCCCCCCCCCCCCGCCCCCGCTCTCTATTGCCATCAGTCACTGTAAACTGCAGAGGGCAGTAGAGGATCTACAGCAACCCCCAGGGGTCAGATTTTTTTTCTCCCCTCACAGAAATGCAGATGGAGATTTATTCCTGGCGAGTCTGCCCACAGTGGCTTAAGCTTTTAGAGAAAAGGAGCTTCTCAGGGGAAGGCAGACTGAATCTTGGGAAATGCCCATATTTAGGGGATGAGAAGAGGAAAAGACACCAGTGACAGGAACAGAAAGAGATGAAGGCCAAGAAATGAGAGGCGGGGCGGAGCCCAGCTCGGGTTGTCTGTGTTCTCGCAGGAGTCATTACGTGTCTCTGGGGAACTGCCGTGACAATGGGAACTGCGCCAAGCCCCCCCCCCCCCCCCCGCCCCCGCTCTCTATTGCCATCAGTCACTGTAAACTGCAGAGGGCAGTAGAGGATCTACAGCAACCCCCAGGGGTCAGATTTTTTTTCTCCCCTCACAGAAATGCAGATGGAGATTTATTCCTGGCGAGTCTGCCCACAGTGGCTTAAGCTTTTAGAGAAAAGAAGCTTCTCAGGGGAAGGCAGACTGAATCTTGGGAAATGCCCATATTTAGGGGATGAGAAGAGGAAAAGACACCAGTGACAGGAACAGAAAGAGATGAAGGCCAAGAAATGAGAGGCGGGGCGGAGCCCAGCTCGGGTTGTCTGTGTTCTCGCAGGAGTCATTACGTGTCTCTGGGGAACTGCCGTGACAATGGGAACTGCGTTGTTTGTAAACTGTTTGGCCCGAAGCCCAGCCCGAAATGGGCGCTCCATAAATGCTTGTTGTTGTCATCATGAGATGGGTGGGGGACCTCAACATCTGGGGGCCTCTGGAAGGAGAGCGGGTGGATCTGGGAGCCGCCCCAGGGGCAGCGGGACAGGAGGCATTTCCTCTCAAGGCGTCAGGTCCCCGCCAGGGCAAGGGAAGAGTGTGTACTGAGGGGGCCCTCCCTCCTGTTCCCGGCTGCTGGGGTGTCACAGTCTGGCTCAAGAACCAATTTCCTCTTCCTTTCCCACCCTGCCCCCAGCATGTCTTTCCTGTTATCCCTGCTGAGAAAACCTCTGGGTTACTGGAGAGGCTTTGGGGTGGCCGGGGGCCCTTCAAACAGCCCCAGCCCCTGGTGTCTGAGGTCCCTGCCTCCCTGCTTCTTCCTGGGGCAGGGCCAGGGGCAAGGTTAGTGGAGATGCTGGTATTGGATGTTCCTTACAGACACCCCACCCCCATTTCCAGTTATTTTCTTCCACACACTGTCCCTGTCCTGAACATCCCAAACACTGCATTGAACTTTGGTCTTGTAGGGTAAAAGGGCTTGGCATCTAAGCAGGACAAGCCGGCTGTCCTGGCCACTCCCAGGCCCCAGAATGGCCCCTCCCACACTCAACACGGAGAGGGGACAGGGAGAAGTCCCAGGCCCTGGCCTGGTGTGCTGGGTTCCTGCTCCCAGGCACCATCATCCCTTGCTCTGGCCAACAGACCAAGTCTTATGAGACCGCTAAGAATCCTCACAATGCTTTCTCCCTCTGGAGACTGACTGGACAGCCAGGGCAAGGAGAATTGGAAATAGAAGCTCATGTCGCTGATGTCATTTTCCTATTCCTGTCCACCATTCTCCAATATGTCTCTTGTCCTGATCTCCCTAACCACTGTGAAGCTTTAGGGAGGTTTAGGCACCCAATAGTTGCTGGTTCATATACCTGAAGTGGGGAGATATTCAAATGCTTACCAACCAGAATGGCATGGGCACCAACCAATCAGAGTGGAGCATTGGGAAGGTGGCGGGTCTTAGAGGTCCTCTGCTGAGCAGGATGCTAACTGTCCCCTGCAGTTGCTGGATTTTGGGGAGCAGGGTAGTCCTAGGGAAAGGAGGCAGAAGGCTCAGACAGCAGTCCTTGGCTTACCAGCATGGAAGTACTTGAATATTTTAACAACTATGGGCCATCCAGTGAGTACTGACATCAGCGCTGCCCCCAGCAGCCGCCAGTCCCTTTCACCACACCTCCTCCTTCAGCCTCTCCTGGGTTCCGCGGCCTTCCCTCCTCCTCCCCCAACAGATGTTATCCTTTCACAACTCTGAACCCTTTCTGCTGCCCTTGATTACTGCCTGAGACTCAGGGAAAGGCCCAGTCCCAGTGCTGTTTCTCTCTACTGTGCAACCTTGAGCAAGTCCCTTCATCTCTCAAAGTCTTGTTTTCTCATCTGTAAAATGGGCTAATATCCATGCTTTTCCACCCTGCAGGGTGATGGTGTGTCTCAAATGACTGTGTGCATGTGGAGGTGCTCTGTAAACCACTTCTCAGATGTCACTATTTTATTCTAATGACACCTCTATGAAAACATTGGGGCAGGAAGACAGAAAACATAATGTATCCTCTCTCCAAACCTCTTGAGACAGTCTTGTTTTCATCTCTGAAGGACAGCAGAGTCCTCAGCGCATGACAAAGCCTGCCCCTACCCATCCTGGTGGCAGGAGGAAGAATAACCTGAGGATGCAGGACTTACACCCCACCATCACCACCAATCAGGGAGGGCTTCCTGAAGGAGGAGGCAGACCAGATAGAGGGCTTGCCAAGGGGCATGAGAAGCAGGAAGAACTGGATATGGAGGAAAGAGGGCTTTCTGTCCAAGAGTTCAAATCCTGGTTCTGTCCCACTTCCTTTCTGCATGATCTTGGCAGTCACTAACCTCAGTCTCCATTTCTCAGTAGCAAAGTAGAAGTAAAAAAAATAGTATCTGCCTCATCTGGTTGTTGTGAAGACTAAAGGAGATAATGTATGTAAAGCACTTAGCCCAGTGCCTGACATACAGCAAATGCTCAATAATCGAGGATTTTTTTTTTTAGATTTTTAAATCTTTTTAAAAATTGTATTAGAAAGAGAGAGAGGAGAGACATCGATCTGTTGTTCCACTAATTTATACACTCATTGGTTGATTCTTGTGTGTGCCCTGATGGGGGATCGAACCCGCAACCTTGGCATATCAGGATAACACTCTAACCAACAATAATCAAGGATCTTAATGGAAGTATTCCCATCCCAGGTCACCCTGCAAAAGCTGAAGGCACAGGAATATGTCCAACAGAAGAGGGAACTCCTGGCCCTCTACAGGGACCAGGACCAGGAGTCTCTGAGCACCAGGCCCTCCACGCCTTCCCCAGAGGGCTCTCAGAGCAGCGTGGAAGGGAGGTAAGACCCACAGGGACCACCAGCTCTCCCACAGGAAGGAGGCTGCAGGTAAAAAGGGAGAGATGGGGAAAGGCTGCAAAATGATATGACAGCGCTCCGGGGAGTTAGAATAGACTGGGGAACCCAGGCTACAGGTTGGAGAACAGGTTGGCATCAGCCATGTGCAGGGCCTCCTGGGGCAGCCTAGGAGGTTAGCCAGCCTAGGGTTGGCGCAGACTGAAAGAAATAAACACAAGAAGCGTGAACTCCCTGAGAGGAGCAGGCTCCCCAGGCTGGGGATGGAGAGTGAAGGCCGGTAGGGATTTGCAGAAAGTCAGAGCGGCAGGGACCAACTTAGTCCAAATTCCCAGAGTGTGAAAGGTTCATCCTTAAAAACAGCTGTTCAGCAGCATGGTTGGAGAAAAAAGAGCCATCAGGGGGGTAACCTCGGATGTCAGGAACCCCACAGAAAATACCTGAGCACTTACTTGACACAAGGACCTGGACCAAGTGTTGTGAGCTTACAGTCCAACCAGAGATGATAGAACAGTGTAAAGGCGATACCAAATTCAATTTGGAGGAGGGACCATTACTGAATGGAGTGATCAAGGGATACTTCCTGGATTTGAACTTGACCCCTGAGCATCTGACTCTGACCATTCATTCATTTGTAGGAATTCTGAGTTCTGCACCGTCATCCCCCACCTGGTGGTGACGGACGACACGGATGAAGACATTCCCTCGGTACCAGATGACACCTCAGACTCTGGCTACAGCACTCTGATCCCAGTCTCCCCCAAGGAGTCCCACTCCCCACTGAGCCGGCTGCGCCCGTGGGCCCTTCGGCGGCACCCCGGCTTCACCCTCTCCGCCCTGGACCTCCGGGATGTTACTTTGCGCCCCCAGCCTCCTGACCCCCAAGCTCCCCAGCGCCGAAGCACCCCTGAACTGCCAGGGGAAGTTATCCGAAGAGGAAGCAGTCTTCCCAGGGGAGAGCGGCCCGCCTGGTCTGAGGAAGAAGATGGGACCTCGGTGAGGAACGTGGTAGTGGAGACCTTGCATAGGGCCCAGCTTCGGGGGCAGCTCCCACACTCCCCGACCCACGCTGACTCTGCTGGGGAAAGCCCCTGGGCATCCTCAGAGGACGAGGAAGAAGAGGGGCCCCTCTTCCGGAGACCCTCCCCTGGCCCCCTCAGTGCTGAGGACATGCTCAGAGAGATCCGGGAGGAACTGGCCAGCCAAAGGATCGAGGGCAGCCCGGAGCCTGGGGACAGCGGGCCTCGGAAGCTGACTCGGGTCCAATTGCAGAGGATGCGTGGGCCCCACATCATACGGTTGGACACCCCCCTGTCCACATCGTAAGTGCTGAAGAGAAGGTGGCCTGGGAGGGAGCAGAGGGGAAGGAAGGCCAGGACGGAGTGGGCGGGGTGTCAGGGTAGGAGGTCGGTGGGGAGGGGTCGGTAGAGAAGGGCAGAGCCACAGCAGGGGCCATGGCAGGGCCCGGCCCTGAGCATCACTCTTCATCCCCTGTCTTTTCAGAGAGGTGTGAGCAACACGCAGGACCTTTGGTTTGGCATTGCTTCCCGAGGAAATCTCTCTCCCAAGAGTGCTGGTCACCACCACCCCGCCCCCCAGGACTGCACCTCAAGGTCCACACTCCCCATGAGGAAGCCTGGCCCGGGATACCTGGGCTTCCTACTCTAAGAACTCTGGGGATCAAGCACTGTACATTGTGTACCATAGACACCGAAGCCCCACATAAAGTTGTGCATAAAAATGACTGCCCATCAGCGCTGAGTGGGGGAAGAACCGGAGGGGGTAGCAGTGCTCACAGGCTGCTCCTCTGGCAGCCGGCATGATGGTGGCGGGGTACCTGGCCTGAGTGGACTTGTCACCATCCCACCCAGCGGGACCCAGGTCCGGCCCAGGGCTCCCACCACCACTCAGAAGACCACTCCCTCCGGGAGCAGAGCTTTAATTCTCCAGGTTTAGTGTATTTACAGAAGTCCAAGCTCCAGCGGGAGGCTCCAGGGTGTGTGCTTGTCCCTGCCGGGGAGAGTCCAGCTTATCTGTGCTTGTCCAGGCAGGGACCGGAGGGGTGCCAGGTTTCGATTAGCATGACATAGTTGATACGGATTGCTTATGGACTGTGGAAAAGGCCCAGGGACCAACCAGGGCTGCTAAAGGGCCTTGATGGGTCCTCCAGGCGAAACAGGAATGAGGCATGGCGCCTGCCGTCCCCACAACCACCCGCTTGGGCTCGGGGCACACTCAGACTCTCACAACCGCACACAACGCATCTATCCATCTACATTCTCTCCCTCCCTCTCTCTCTCACACACACATACACGCACATGCACACGCACAGCTGACCCTCCGGCAGTGCTCAGCTGAGAGAGCTCTGAACACTGAGGGAGTAGCACCAAGTAAGTGGCTGCCAGCTCATGCCTGCCCCTCCAAGACCCTTCCTCTGCAGAAAAAAAAGAGGTCCAGAGGGCATCTTGCAAAGTCCTTCAGAGGTCCCGGGGCAGGAAATCGCCGTCTTCGGGTCCTCGGGGCAGGCCCCTCCCGGGGGCGTGGCCTCATCGGGGAAGGTGCGGCTGCAGGGAGAGGGAGGCGGGGCCGCCCAGTCCAGAGGGCATCTTGCAAAGTCCTTCAGAGGTCCCGGGGCAGGAAATCGCCGTCTTCGGGTCCTCGGGGCAGGCCCCTCCCGGGGGCGTGGCCTCATCGGGGAAGGTGCGGCTGCAGGGAGAGGGAGGCGGGGCCGCCCAGAGCCGCCTTCTTAATGGAAGTATTCCCATCCCAGGTCACCCTGCAAAAGCTGAAGGCACAGGAATATGTCCAACAGAAGAGGGAACTCCTGGCCCTCTACAGGGACCAGGACCAGGAGTCTCTGAGCACCAGGCCCTCCACGCCTTCCCCAGAGGGCTCTCAGAGCAGCGTGGAAGGGAGGTAAGACCCACAGGGACCACCAGCTCTCCCACAGGAAGGAGGCTGCAGGTAAAGAGGAGAGATGAGGAAAGGCTGAAAAATGATATGACAGTGCTCCGGGGAGTTAGGAATAGACTGGGGAACCCAGGCTACAGGTTGGAGAACAGGTTGGCATCAGCCATGTGCAGGGCCTCCTGGGGCAGCCTAGGAGGTTAGCCAGCCTAGGGTTGGCGCAGACTGAAAGAAATAAACACAAGAAGCGTGAACTCCCTGAGAGGAGCAGGCTCCCCAGGCTGGGGATGGAGAGTGAAGGCCGGTAGGGATTTGCAGAAAGTCAGAGCGGCAGGGACCAACTTAGTCCAAATTCCCAGAGTGTGAAAGGTTCATCCTTAAAAACAGCTGTTCAGCAGCATGGTTGGAGAAAAAAGAGCCATCAGGGGGGTAACCTCGGATGTCAGGAACCCCACAGAAAATACCTGAGCACTTACTTGACACAAGGACCTGGACCAAGTGTTGTGAGCTTACAGTCCAACCAGAGATGATAGAACAGTGTAAAGGCGATACCAAATTCAATTTGGAGGAGGGACCATTACTGAATGGAGTGATCAAGGGATACTTCCTGGATTTGAACTTGACCCCTGAGCATCTGACTCTGACCATTCATTCATTTGTAGGAATTCTGAGTTCTGCACCGTCATCCCCCACCTGGTGGTGACGGACGACACGGATGAAGACATTCCCTCGGTACCAGATGACACCTCAGACTCTGGCTACAGCACTCTGATCCCAGTCTCCCCCAAGGAGTCCCACTCCCCACTGAGCCGGCTGCGCCCGTGGGCCCTTCGGCGGCACCCCGGCTTCACCCTCTCCGCCCTGGACCTCCGGGATGTTACTTTGCGCCCCCAGCCTCCTGACCCCCAAGCTCCCCAGCGCCGAAGCACCCCTGAACTGCCAGGGGAAGTTATCCGAAGAGGAAGCAGTCTTCCCAGGGGAGAGCGGCCCGCCTGGTCTGAGGAAGATGGGACCTCGGTGGGAGGGAACGTGGTAGTGGAGACCTTGCATAGGGCCCAGCTTCGGGGGCAGCTCCCACACTCCCCGACCCACGCTGACTCTGCTGGGGAAAGCCCCTGGGCATCCTCAGAGGACGAGGAAGAAGAGGGGCCCCTCTTCCGGAGACCCTCCCCTGGCCCCCTCAGTGCTGAGGACATGCTCAGAGAGATCCGGGAGGAACTGGCCAGCCAAAGGATCGAGGGCAGCCCGGAGCCTGGGGACAGTGGGCCTCGGAAGCTGACTCGGGTCCAATTGCAGAGGATGCGTGGGCCCCACATCATACGGCTGGACACCCCCCTGTCCACATCGTAAGTGCTGAAGGGAAGGTGGCCTGGGAGGGAGCAGAGGGGAAGGAAGGCCAGGACGGAGTGGGCGGGGTGTCAGGGGAGGAGGTTGGTGGGGAGGGGTCGGTAGAGAAGGGCAGAGCCAGAGCAGGGGCCATGGCAGGGCCGGGCCCTGAGCATCACTCTTCATCCCCTGTCTTTTCAGAGAGGTGTGAGGAACACGCAGGACCTTTGGTTTGGCATTGCTTCCCGAGGAAATCTCTCTCCCAAGAGTGCTGGTCACCACCACCCCGCCCCCCAGGACTGCACCTCAAGGTCCACACTCCCCATGAGGAAGCCTGGCCCGGGATACCCCGGGCATCCTACTCTAAGAACTCTGGGGATCAAGCACTGTACATTGTGTACCATAGACACCGAAGCCCCACATAAAGTTGTGCATAAAAATGACTGCCCATCAGCGCTGAGTGGGGGAAGAACCGGAGGGGGTAGCAGTGCTCACAGGCTGCTCCTCTGGCAGC